CATGTTGTCGATCTCTTCTTGGGGTACAGCCTGCCACGCTGCATTCACGGCCCGAACCAGATCCGTACGAGTTTCACGAGGCATACCCATACCTCAAAATTATTCTTTGGACCGCGTCCCATACGTGTTCGATGGGGTTGAGGTCAGGAGATTGTGCCGGCCAGGGTAAGATATTTAATTGATGAGCATTGATAAACTCACTTACCACTCTGGGTGTATGAGGCCGTGCATTGTCATGCATGAGAATGGAGTTTCTCCCAAAATCATTGGCATATGGTAACACGACAGGCTCAAGAATTAAATCACGATATGTGATTCCTGTTAGAAACCTTTCAAGAAAAACGAGATCGGATTTTCGGCCTAACTGGACTCCTCCCCAGACCATAACTGTTCCACCTTGATAAGTGTGCGCTTCCTGAACGTGATCCAACCTAATAAGATTTCCCGGTTCTCTCCACACCCTAAGCCTTCTCGAATCCGGATGAATTCCAAAGCGTGACTCATCCGTGAAGAGAACATTAGCCCATTGTTCATTCGATCACTGAACATGATCTTGAGCCCACAAATATCGTACCTCTCGATTTCCTCTCGTTAAGGGTTGAGCTCTCCAGGGGCGTCTGCTTCTTAAGTTGACATCCCTTAATCTGTTGCGAACAGTGTCAGGACTAACGGTTACATTATGTGTTTCCTGGAGAATTAAGGTAAGGTCTGGTGCTGTAAGAGTCGGTCGGCGTCGAGCATTTAATTGTAAAAAATGATCTTGCTGAGGGGTAGTAATGCGATGTCGCCCTGTGTGCCTTTCAGCAACATCACCACTTTCACGATAGCGTGCACTTAATCGCGATATTACACTTTACGTTGTATTTAATGCTCTAGCTATGTCGATTTGGCGCATTCCAGCTCCGAGCATACCCATGGCACTTAGCATTTCGTCTCTGTTAAGATGTCTACGCTCCATAATGTCGTTTAATACTAAACAGAGTTATTTGAATGAATTCTGGCCAGTTATCATAAAAACATAGCCAGTACAGGTTAAATTCGAACAATTGATGCTAGGTGCTTTTTATACATTTGACAAAAATGCAACACTTCTGCAAATATCCCAAATTTACGAATAACTAGTGTGACTACTTCGTTTCAATCGAAGTCGAAAGAATCGGCCTACAAATATGTGGTTGTTTATTCAAAACATTTATCTTTAACTTTTATAAAATGATATCCCTAGATTTTTCCGGTGTGTGTATTTTAACTTTTTTACCTATTTTTATCTGCAGAATATGCTGCCGAAGTTTACGGAATACAGTTCGAACCACCCTCTATAATTCGTAAAAGAATATCGAAATTGGATGGCGAGTATAAAATGAAATTGTGGTTATATTTAGTGAAAAGTTGTTTAAATGCGTGTGTATTTTTAATAGCTGCACAAATTTTACTTTTAATACACATAAAAATGAAACTCGCGAAGTATTTTTCATATTTTTATCGGTTTAGTAGAGCCAGTTTGAATATTTTAAACGCATTTGCGGAACTGCGGCAGTATAAATTGCCTTCCGCCGTTCTTAACTTAACTAAAACCTAAAAATCGAGAAAATAAAAAGCAAAATTAAGTAGCTATTAATTAGAGTAAAGTTTTATAAACTTTTTTACCGTTTATAAACTGCTGGGAAAGGTTTAAAACTAATTGAAAGTTGGAATACAAAGTTTGTCTTAGTTGACAGATTTTTATAGGAGTTTGTCGGAGTAAGGGTAGCTTTTGCTGAAACTTTTATTAATGCTAAGTAGTTAATTTATTGAAATTGGAGACTGGCATTATTTGTTTAATATTTCTTTCTATGTAAGATCGTATTCAGCTTTCTTCCACTGTTAATCAAAGTGAAACCTTTTTTAGATATCATCGTCATCATTCTCAGCTTATTCAACCATTTCCAATTATGGTGTAACCTCCCTCACGTACTGTCTTTGTAGTTGGGCCCACTGCTAATTTCCTAATATCATGGTCCCATCTCAGATTTGGTCTTCTTGTAGGTCTCTTAATTCCCCGTGGGTACCATGCTGTAATTTTTGTGGTCCATCTGTTGTCCGTTCTTCTTGCAAGGTGTCCTTCCCATTGCCATTTCAGGGATTTGACTCTGTGGATGATATCTATTACCTGGGTCTTTTGTTGTATCGACTATATTTTTAGCGATAAGATTTTTTAGGTTTTTTCTTCGATTCCCTCATACGTTTTGTTACTGTGTTATTTTATGTTATAAATCCGTCAATCGTGTCCATCCGTCAACTACAGGAAAAAGTAAAAGAGCAGCAGTCTAAACTTTATGTTGCATTCATCGATCTAACAAAAGCCTTCGACTCTGTGAACAGAGTGCGCTTTGGGCAATTATGAAAAAGTTCGGAGTACCCAACAAATTTCTTACAGTGTGTAAAAGCCTCCATAACAGCAACAAGTCAAGAGTATCACATCATGGATCACTAAGCGATCCATTCCTAACAAATACAGGAGTTGGGCAGGGATGTGTCTTAGCGCCTCTCCTATTCAACATATTCATGCCAGCGCTCTCCATTATAGTGGACAGTAAACTGCAGGAGAGAGGATTGGGCACTAGATACAGATATGACGGCGGTCTGTTCAACATAAAAAGACTCACGGTACAACAATTACAAGAAATGTTGAACACATATACCTGGGCATACGAGGCTTTGGGCCTTAATAAAAAATACGAAGCTTTGGGCCAGGGTTTTCTACAATCATGACTTGAGTACAAAAACAAAACTTGCATTGTACCGAGCAATTATAATCCCCACCATGTTATATGGGAGTGAAACCTGGGTGCCGTACCGGCGACACATGAACGCATTAAGCAAGTTGCAACAGAGACACTTTAGACAGCTCTTAAGAATCCGGTGGTTCCATCATGTCTCAAACGTATCGGTCCTAAAGTCATGGTCACAAAATCCCGCTTAAGATGGGCTGGTCACGTATGCAGAATTTAAGAAAACCGCATACCAAAATCTCTGCTTTACGGTGAGCTTGTAGACGGTAAGAGGAGGCCGGGTGGACAACTAAAAAGGTACAAGGACACTTTCCACGAAAACTTAAAGGGGATTAACTTGCAGAATGAGTGGGAAAAAGCAGCTCTCAATAGAACTCAATGGAGAAGAGTTGTAAACTCAGTTAACAGCGACAACCAAAAAGTAAAGAGGTAACAAAACAATGGGATTTTTGAATGTCCGGAGTGCGGTAGGCAGATAACATCATGTATCAGGCTTTTCAGTCACAGAAAAGCTCATGAAAGAAAACGCCTTGCGTGACCATCTTCTTTATGTGTGTCGAATACTCACCCGTCAGCGAGGAACGGCTGTATGTATGTATGTATTATGTTATAAATGAGCTCCTATTCGTAGTCTCGGGACTACTATTAAAGATGTAATTCTATAGAACACATTTTGTCACCTCCAACACAAAGTGTTGTACCTAACATTTTAAAGATTTTACAGTAAAGCGAAAAAAGGGTTTTCGTGCGATCAAAAAAATAACTTTTGTTAGATATGCCATTTATTTTGTCTGCTACAGCATTTGCTGTTAAAATTACGACGCTGTGGGGACTGTTGTAGAGAGTCATCCTGTATCTCAATAGTTAAGATGTTTGGTTTTTAACAAAGTATGAATGGTATATCCTTAGAATAGGTTCAAAAATCGGTTCAAGAATCGCCTCTTGAAATATTAACATGTTATATTAAGCAATACCCTTTGTGTTTGCTATAAGCTACTATCAAAAAACTGCTTTCTGTGCGTACGCTCAACTTTTGTTTTTTCAAAGCTATCACGGTAGCAGATAAATGTTATATTTTTGTGTTCGCTTAGGTTGTAATGTGTATCATTCGCCAAAAAAAAATTTGAAAATTCGAAATTTTCTGAAAAATTATTTGTAATTTTTTTTAGTTTCTAGTTAAAAAACATAATTTCTTGATAATATGGCAACATAGGTATTAGATTAAATTTACAAGAAAGAAAATCCAGAAAAGATCCAATGGTTCTCAAAATTTTAGCAAAAAAATAATTTTTTTGGAAATTTTCAAAGTAAAATAACTCCGTTATTTTGGACTTTTTATCGAGATCTACCACACTCTTAAAATACTTGCACTTATTTATGGGACACCCTGTATAGGTTTGAGTGGTAGAGGGAATCTTGTCAAAAACTTTGATATTTGTGTATTTTCGTCTAGTTTGTTGGTGTTATATTTCTGATAAACAAAATTATTTTTAAATGCAAAAATAAAAAAAAAACATTGGCTGACTAAGATTTGGCAATTGTCTTATAAAAAAGTTTACCGGTTTCAAAAATGTATTTTATTTTTTGATATTTATTATTTATTGACGGTATGTACTTTAAAAAAGGATCTAAATTGGTGATAAGTTATCTTTAAACCAAAATATTATCGAATCAGGATATTATGTCACAAACTTCAACAAGATAATAATAATGAGTATTTTTCTCTAAGTAGTTATGGCAGTTAAATTGTAAAAAAATAAAAATAATTTTATTTTCAATGTTTCTTACCTTGCGCTCACTCGTCCCACTGTGTGTCGTAGTGATAAAGATTCCCGCATGTCATGTGCTAGGCCTAAAAAACATTCGGTTAATAATTCTTGGTTAAAAACACTATATCCGAAAAGTGGTAAAAAAAGTAAATTTGACTTTATTATTACTTACGTATATTTTCTTAAATACACCCCTCAAATCGAGGTACAAAAAAAATACAGGAAACAAATCGGTAAGAATGACCGAATATAAGTCAGTTATTTATCTATCAAAGTTTTCATAAAAACATAAATACTTAATTCAGTGTTAGGCCATAGAAACCTAGCCGCAATAATTAGACTATTAAATAAAAAATTTAAATAAACACATTTTTTTTTTTCACAATTTGTCTGTGTGTGATTAACATATATTTTTAATTGATTTCATTGACTACATACTTTATATTTTTCTTAATTTCAGGAACAAAATACGAACCTACGATTGCAGACAATGCCTACAAAGTCCACATGAAGCTGGTTATTAGAAAAGTGAGTCAATCAGATTATGGATCCTACAAATGCGTGGCCAAGAATTCTTTAGGAGAGACGGATGGAACTATCAAACTCTATCGTAAGTAATTTCCATTAATTTTTTTCAATTTGTTTGTTTGATTTGACTGAATTGGAAATAATCTATTTTGATGAAGATTATACCAGTCACGCAATAATCTAATTTGTGATAATTTGTTATTTGATAATATAAATTACTCGATCATGTCTATTATATTTAAGTTAATAATTATTCTTTTATTCGTTAATATACTACATATTTTTGTATTTGTTTTCATTAATTTTAGTTTATTCAAGAAATTGGTTATTTAATAAAACGTAAGTAATCATCGTTACATATGCAGTATTTTTTTTCTTTACAGATTGATGGTTGCTAAATCGAAATTGCTAATATTGCTAAATCGGAATTGCTAAATAAAATTAACATAATATATTTAAAAAAATATGTTAAATAACTCAAAATAAAATATACAAACATAAATTTCATATACAAGCAAAAATTCTGTAAAATTATAAAAAAAAATGAAAAACGAAATAGAGGGAACTGAATGTATTGAATGTATAAAATCAGCTTTATTAGAATATTTCTTATCCAAAGTCACAAATATAAAACATATTGACGTTCATCTACCTACGTATGCATATCCGTCCAGTGGCAAACACATTTTCATGTAATAAAATCTCGGCATTCCCATCTCCATATGCCCCAATGGGAAAGCAGGAAATGTCAAATTGAATTTTATACTCTTCCAGCCTCTGGATCCGCTGAATCCCGTGCATATGCACTGTTGCCAAGTTTTAATATAGATACAATTTCGACAAGGTTGAATAAAAACGATCCTATTTATATAATGTTTTTTTTTATTTTCCTAGCAATATATGTTTCTTTATGATTTTAGGGAAAGTTGTACTTGTTTTTTTGATTAATCTCTTTTGATTAATATTAAATGTTTTTCTTTTTAATTTTCGCATCACTATATTATATATTTCTTTATGATTTTAGGGAAAGTTGTACTTGTTTTTTTGATTAATCTCTTTTGATTAATATTAAATGTTTTTCTTTTTAATTTTCGCATCACTATATTATATATTTCTTTATGATTTTAGGGAAAGTTGTACTTGTTTTTTTTATTAATATGGATAATTTTCAGAAGATAACTTTTGGGGTTATGTCCTAATTCTTCCCTATTTTAGGTCTTTTTTAGCCGACCATACCAATAGCTATGGTAGGTTATTAAGATCGGCAAACATTTTTTTTTAATTTCACTCAAAATGAGTTATTTGGGTCATAAATGACCTAAATACAAAATATTTTCATGGTGTCTATCTGTCTGTCTGTCTGTCTGTCCGTTGAAACTGATTTTAATTCAAATTTGCACAAAAATACTGTGGCACCTGAGAGTCTGGCCATTAGTTTTGGTGGCGGTGGGGGTATGGGAGGGGGTATGGGAGGGGGTATGGGGGGGGGGTTAAAAATTTAAAAAAAATTGTAACTTCAAAATTACAGTAGCTAGCGAAACGCGGTTTTCAAATTAAGATTAGGAATAATATTTGCAATAAAATTTGTAATGACATCAAAATCAGCCAAAGTCGCAGTTTTCGAGATATTAACATATTTTAGTATGAACAATATGGATATTTTTTGTATAGCGTATGACGTCACAGGTGGTATGCGTAAACTTAATGAAATTGGAGCCGATATCATACCTTGTTTTATTTGTACCATGCCTACAAGGTACGACTTTTAAATCTTTTTATATTATTTGGAACGTTTGAAATTGTTTAAAAACTTATTTGTGCCGTTTAAAAAAAAAGCAAGTTCTATTCGGAGTAAAAAGACTTTTTGTGCCTGTTTGTCGTCAAACGTACAGCTTCGCCACAGAAAGTCTCATTTTTACTCCTAATAAAACAATATACTATTCATAGATAAAAGACTTATAATATACTATCATATCGTCAATCACGTCGCAAAAATTAATACTTTTGTGACGTTTGAAACTTTGACACTAAAACATCATAAAGAAGCATAAGAATCTGTTTACCAAACCGGTGTAGCCTTCAAGGGTAAAATGAGTAAAATTCTGTAACAAACTGTTTCACTTATTTATTCCTAATTAATAAATTATTAAGTTTTCCAACTAAATACAATCAATACGCCCCCAAATGCAAGAGACAAAAAGCCAATTAAACGTATTTAATCACGAGCGCCGTATTCGTTTCTGCAATTACCACCTCAACCCTCCACCCCCCCTCCCGCGAAACAATAGTTATATAACATTTAATTACTGCACGTTAATCACGGCGCCTTGCAGCCGGCCCGCTGCGAGTAACTTGCAGCAGGACATTATGCCGAGCTCACTAATTAACCCGAGATTACAATGTCGCCGAGACATACATCGTAACCTTTGCAAATGGTAGCGCTAATAGGGAAGCGCGCCATATTGTCTTAAACAAATTGGGGCATCTGAGATTTTTTGGTTGAGTTAAATATTAACACTTATTATTATATTAACACTTTATATATTATTCCGTTGCAAATCCAGGCGAACCAGACCGGTAAACTACGGTAAAGAACGGTTCCTGAAAAACATCGGTTTGATACGGAACGGTTTGGTAAAATATTGGAAACGTTAAATGTTGACGTTTTCTAAATTTCAATACCTCTACTATAAAATTTATCTTTTATGCATTTTTAATGTACCTGTTCTCTGTTTTTACGTTTGCTTCTTCTTTTCAATAGAGTTTAATATTGAAAAGTACTTTATTAATAAACTGTTAAACTCGTTAGACAGCTCAAGTGAAGATTTGCAGGTCCAATCTTAAAGCAGATCAATAATAAACAAACAAATCTAATCAATATTTATATTTTTATAGCTTACAAAACATTCACGATCACTTGTCTTGTTTTTCATGTTTTCTTTAAATGTTCCTGACTCTAAGAAACAATGGCTGCATAATAAGTTTAAATGGTCCTAAAAAGTCATTCTTTTTAGTTGATTAAATTTATTTACCTTTACTGCCTCCCACAATTGATTTTGGAAGTAAATACAAAATATTATTACAAATTTTATAAATTAAATGAGAATTTCACTCGAACTTCCAATATTTGGTTGATTTATGTCACATAAATGACATTGATTGACAAACAAAACCAGAAAAACCAGCCTTCTCGCGCTGGTTAGTTTGGTGACAGTTATAACCGAATTTTTCAGGAATCGTGTTCCGTAATGAGAAAACTTTCAGGAAACCGATAGAAACAGAACATAAAAAGATAACCAAGGTAAGCAACGGAATACACCTTTAGTTTTTTTTAAAACAGTTGACGTTCTGTTAAAATCAGGTTAAAATGACATTATATCCAAGTTAAACTTCAAAATTAACAATTACTACCTGATAACACCTGATAACAATTATTTAAAAGTAAAACCAAAAACTTCAACTTTCTGTATGATTATTTTTAATTTGTTTTTAATTTTTACGTATGTTATGTTTATTTATGTTATATTCCTCAAAATCGAAGAAGCTATTGCCATACATTTCTAACATCTACAGATACATGAGCAATACATTTACTTTTATTAGGTTGTACTAAAAAAAATTCTTTTATTTTTCTTTTTTTGCATTTTGCGCATTTTAAAGAAAATTATAATACATATATTAATTTTATAATTTTACAGCTATTTCTAGACATCATAATAAGTGTATTTCTTATATAAACATCCACTCCAGACTTTGTACCTTAACCTTTCAAGTCTAAATACTATTTTCATTGATATTCCAGTTCCTAAAATTTATTTTAGGAACTTTTTTTTTTTTAATTAATAATTTATATCAAATTTATAACGTAAAAAATGCCTTTTTCATAATTTGGTATAACCAAAGCCTGTTTATTTGATTTAGCTGAGGGACTTCTATTTTTTTTCAGATATACCTAGCCCATCAACTGTACGACCTACAACATTATCAACAGCACCAACTGTTCATTTAGTTACACTGAAAGGTTAGTATTAATCGATTATTTTCAAGAAGATATATCAAATTCATGATTACTACATACAAAATTCTTCCCTTGAGGGGCTATATTTTTGAATTTTCAAATTCGGAAAAAGAAAAAAGGAAAAAATTGTTACGTTTGTCGTTAAGAGGGGAACCAAATCCCACGACCGATTTCTGGGCATACCCTTCATCAGTGCCCAGGGCTGTGCAGAGGTTGGCCCTCCTACGAAATGACAAACACAACTTTAACAATTTGAATCGGCGATCTCGCGCCAAACGATGGAAAACAGCATTATTTGGCCTCTCTAATATCACCTTTATATTATATACTAGCGTGTACCAGCGACTTCGTTCTCGTCAAATTAATCATTTGTAATGGCGATGATAAAGCAAAGCAAGAATTTCCATTAACATACAAACTAGATAAAAAATTTTCACATTTATGTCAGCATGAGAAAAAACAATATGGCGATATTATTATATAACTTGGTAATATTTGAGGGGTAGTTTCATCTCGTTGGAATTTGACTTTCGAAAAATCCGTTTGCCAAAAATATGCTTTTTACGTCAAACAGTTTAAGCAGAATCGTGGTTAAGAAATTACCCAACTTTTTGGAACACCCTGAATGATTTTTTAAAAAAATTCAAAATATGTAAAAAACCAAATAAATTATGCTTGTCCAAGCGTTTTCCCGAAAGACTGACCGTTTTTTAAATAACAAATATTGTAATATTTGAGGGGCGTTTTCACCCTCTTGGAATTTGAGATTCGAAAAACCCCTCCTTATCAAACCTCTCTACCGCCCACAGTCAATCCGTTTGCCAAAATGCAGCTTTAAACGTCAAGTAGTTCAAGCAGAATCGTGATTACTCAATGGTCATATTTTATGAAACACTTTGTATAAATTTATAAAAAATCTTAAAATATGTAAAACAACAAAATAAAATATACGTGTTTAAGAGTTTTTCCGAGAAACTCACCGGTTTTTAAATAAAAAATATTTTAATATTTGAGGGAAAGTTTTACCCCCTAAGAATTACAGTTTCGAAAAATCCCTTCTTATCGAATTTCTACACCCTAAAGTCAATCTGTTTTCCAAAAATCAGCTTTTTACATCAAGCGCTTTAAGCAGGATCGTGATTAATCAATGACCAGATTTTTCGAAACACCCTGTATACATTTTTAAAAAATCTTAAAATATGTAACAACAATGTAATAAAATATACGTGTTTAAGCGTTTTTTTGGAAACTTGACCGTTTTTTTTAATAAAAAAATATTGTAATATTTGAGGGGTGGTTTCACCCTCTTGGAACTGGAATTTCGAAAAATCCCTTCTTATCGAACCTCTACACCCTAGAGTCAACCTGTATGCCAAAATTGAGCTTCTTACGTTGAGTGGTTTGAGCAGGATCGTGATTAATCAGTATGTCAGTCACTTAAGGATTTTATATATTAGTATAGATTATCATTATCTATTACCTTTACTTTTATTACATATTACCTTTATATTAATGATTACCTTTATTCCAGATGCAGTTAGACAACAAAAGCATGCCATCGACAAAACCTCTAAAAACGCAGACGAGAATCGAAAACACGCAGAAAATGAAAGTAAGTTTTATAATATGTTTTTTATTCTTTCAAGATGGCAAAGTTCTAAATTTAATTTACTTAAAAATTAAGTTTCAGTATAAGTTTTCTTCTCGTAAATTTTTCCAATGTTTTTTGCGCAGTTAATTAAGGGGAACTACTGTACGTTAGTTCAGAAATTATTTGGAAAAAATTGAAATAAGAATGAAATTTCTACACCCTGTATTTACGAGACAAAGCATTTTAGAACATATATTTTTAGGAACTTTTTACCTATTGTTATCTGCAGAATATGCTGCCGTAGTTTTCCGAATACAATTGGGACCACCAGGTATACTCGTAGACCAGCTGGGTATATTTTCTTTAGCTTGCTGTTGATCTGTTAATTAATATCTACCATTCTAGTAATTAAAAATATACCATCTCATTTAATTAATATTATCTATCAGTCTAATTTGTAATTAGGCAAAAATATAAAAATTCTTCGAGATAGTCGAGAAACTCGACAAATTCCGGTAAAAAATTCTCGTATCTCGAGAATTAGAAAAGGTCGACACATAGGAAACCCTAGTCCATCCGTTCTTCAGTCTTAAACTGGTGTAATAATTATCTTTAAGCAAGTGAAACATGTTAATTTCGAGTTCTTCAATTAACTAATTAATTAAATATTCACTGATAAAAGTGAATCTCTCACTGAATAAAGCTAGAACTGAAAAGACAGCCAAGTTACAAAATTAAACGGCAACTTTTGCTAATGCCGATGCAAATTTATGCGGCAAGAATCGGAAAAAGGCAGAAATTAAATGTGAAAACATGCAAAATTAATTCAGCCGCTCCTCCGCTCGGTTATCTTGTCTGAAAAGTAACGAAAAGTAATTTAAATCTTGCGCTGTTGCTTATATTAGAACAAAAAGTAGAAAGAGAGAGAACTATTTAAGGTAGAACGGAAAAAGATTTATAGATTCTCGCAGTGGAACGAAGAAACAACAAGCTATTGCTACGAATTTTCCACTGGGAATTTTCAAATTTTCAGTTTCTTGTACGATTATTACGATCAGGTGGGAAATACTGTACAAATTGCAGTTTAAAAAAAAATATAAATTGCTTATCATAGCATTAAGAATTGCGACAAAAAAATTATATTCCCGAAAAAATCCATTTTCCTATTTATAAATCTCAAAATTAAAAAAAATATTCTTTTTTTTGGTGTTTGCAATGTAAGATACACCCCACATACAGAGTGTTCCATTGTTAAGATAGGAGAATGAGGTTTGCACAAACCTGTCCTAATTTTTTGTTAAAACATATTTTGTGACTGTCGTGGTTTCTAAGCCACAGAGTATTTTAGAGTTTTTTTCAATTTGGGATACCCCCCGTATCTTCCTTCTAATTTACGTTTCTTTTTTGTTTCGATATACAGAGTGGTCCGAACTGTATTCTAAAAAATTCGGAAGCATATTCTGCAGATAAAAATAAGTAAAAAATTTCGTAAAAATATATGTTCTAAAATGGTTAGTTTCGGAGATACAGGGTGTAGCAGTTTCATTTTTATTTCCATTTTTTCTAAATAATTTCTAAAATAACGTCAATAATTGCATGAGAATCTGGGAGTTTTTTGACATGACAAATCGAATTGTGATGTCAATATGACTCGTACGTGTAGAGGGCGCCATGTATATGATGTAACTGCTTTGAAGAGTAATAATTTTTTGTCCTTACCTGTATAAAACTACCTAATGAAAAAATATATATTTGCGACGTTTTTTATGTAAAAAGGACTTTTGGTAAAAATCGCTACGAGTAGTGGTTCTTGAAATATTTGGAATCTATATTATCAATACATGTCATCATTAGAAACTGTTTTATAATCATTCTTTTGAAGAAAAATTTATGATTACTTTAAAAAAATTAAAGCTTCCCCAAATTTATCATTTCAGTCAAATAACTACCCAATAGCATCTATCTGACTTCGAACTAAATCTGACCTGAAGCGACGTCAGACTTTGTGCAAGTTTAGGTCGGGTGCTGGTGATACGACCGGTGACGTCGCTTTCCTATTAAAAGCGACGTCGTTGGATCCGAGTCGGTAAATTCAACGATCTGTCGACGTACAAAATAACAACGTACCATTTTTGTTAATTTCCCAACGTCGTTCCCACGTTGGCTTGCATGACGTACATATACTTGAACTAGCCCGACGCGACGTCTACCCGTTGTCCGAATAGGATACGTCTTACTGATAATCCCTAAAGTAACGTCCAATTATATTTTGTTGTATTTTATGTTCATATTTATAACCTAATTTACGTTTATCTATTTACGTCCGTAAATACAACCCATTAGGTAGCATTTGCAACCTAATGAACATTATGAACATAACCTAATAAAGTTTTTGTAAACAAACATAATTTTTTTATTATGCCTAAAAAACACTAAAAATGCATTTAGACATTCATCTACATTTTACAGAAAGTGGTCGAGGCTTTTGCAAAATAATAATAGTAGTAGTGATGTCTTGCCTCCACCCACGAATGCTTTTTATCCGGAAGAGATGCTGCATTACAATGGTGCATCTTAATTTCTTTTTTTAGGGTTCCGTACCCAATGGGTAAAAACGGGAACCCTATTACTTCACTGTCCGTCCGTCCGTCTCTCACAAAGGTCTATATTATGAACCGTTATAGCTAGACAGTTCAAATTTTTACAGATGATGTATCTATGTTGCCGCTATAAGAACAAATACTAAAAAGAGAATTAAATAAATTTTTATAAATAAAAAAATACTTTCACTAAACATTATCGTTTAAGTAAGAATTTTACATAGAATATTTCAAGTCCTCGGTTGGCCGCGTGGTTAAAGGCTTTAGGCGTTGTTCCGTAGCAAGGCGACTTTTTTCAATTTTTACATATTTTTACATATTGATTTTTACTTTTTACATATTTATTATTGATTAATACAATTTTAGTAATGTGTTTCTTGATTTTTTTTTAATTACTTATACGTGCATTCAAAATTTCAGCTAAAGCGGTAAAAACGTTTATAATAATATAATGTCTAATGTATAAATAATGAATGGTACGGAACCCTTCCTGCACGAATCCGACTCGCACTTGACCAGTTTTTTAGCTTAGGAAACTAGCAGACCCCATCCTCTTTCCACATGCATGTGAGGTACTGGTCCCAATTCTATTAAATTTTATATACAAAATATATTTTATTTTTTACGCAAAGTGAGGTTGCGCCTACGAAACCGTTGAACCGTCAACCGTCAAACATTTTTTGACAACAAACCATTTACCTATCATAGACCAATAACAGACAACGTCGGGAATCGTTTACCAGGAATACGAAAAATTATATGCTCTGTGGTCGACGACGTATGCCGGCAGATCGCAAATTTTACGTGGCGTACGTTGTAATTATATACATCATAATACGATTATCGGCCGTCCGGTTTGATGATTTCAGTCGTGTGAGACGACTAATGTTGGTGACCCGGTCGGACTTGGTATATTGTTAGTTCGGACACAGAAATCCGCCATTCTTAACAAGTATCCGATTGTCAGCCATTTTAAAATCGTTTTTTGTTTTTAAAATTTATACTCACATTCCGATATCTAGTAGAATAATATTGATAAAGTTGAGTTTGGGGGGAACCACAGTACAGTTTTATGATTAAACCAGCTAGAAAATAAAAAACATATTTTGCGAGTTACTTTTTTATAGATATTTTTATTTCATAAATCTACCTAATTTTGAAGGCGCTCGTTGTTTTCCGGAGTATTTTAATCAGCTATATCAAAAAAGTGACTTCCGTTGACAAAACTGATGTCTGGATTAATGATTCAGAATTATTATAATATGAAATTACGTAGGCACTTATAGTTATATTCGAGGAGTGATTTTGAATCCATTTGTAATTATTTATATCTGCTTTTTTTACTTATTTATATCTGCAGAATATGCCGCCAAAGTTTCCCAAATACAGTTGGGACCACCCTATATTTCACGAGAAAGGTATCAAACTTTATTATTCACTATCCATTGTTCTAAGTTTATATATAAAAATAATTATACAAAAATAATTATATTCGCAAATTACAGCAGTAAAATATCCATTTGAAAATGATAAACCAATATTATAATGTTTGCTTTAATCAATGTCAAAAGTGTTCAATTAAAAAAACTTCTCTTTTATTTCATATTTACCTGCTTTGGATTTCTATTTTGTGTGTGTTTTTTTCTAGTTATGTTTTGTGTAGTTAATTTATTTATGAGTTTGAAAACATAACGTGCAACCTGAAATTAATAACACAAAAAAACTCAAGAGCGAATGTGCCGATTTTGTATATGAATTCTTGCTCATATACCCGGTATGTGAGTATATGCTGCATAAACCCGGTATTCGTTTTCTCTCCATATACCGGGTGCATCTCAAAAGTGGCTTACCCCTATAATTTTTTATTTTTTCAGATAAAAAATATTCATTTGTTAGTATTTGACATAAATTAGGATTGATTGACGTATTCAATTGTTTTCAGTCACTTCCTGTTTCACCGGAAATGACTACAACTTTTTATTTTTAAATAGCACCGTCGGTATAATTTTTACTTTATTCGAAAGAAAATTACACTTTGAATAGAATGATAACTTTAGACTTTTTAGCTAAAGAAATCGTATTTTAAATTTCAATCTAGAGTGTCATGGCTGTGTTAAAAACACTAATTTGTAATCAAGGAGCCTAGGAGAATATATTTGATCGTCTAATGTTTTTTGTGTCTTATCCTGGCCGGTAAAAGATGCCTAAATCCTATTTTTAATCATAGCTCAATTTTTTCAAACGGAATAAGAGTGGCTGATTGTCATGTTTGAAAAAAGCAATTTGTGCGAATAATTTGGTGCCACATACTTGGTATTTCGTGTCAAATTATCGTTATGAACCGCATGTTACGAGTTCAAATAAACCGGAAATGTCAAAAGTTGACATATGATATGTCATTCTATTCAGAGTGTCATTTTCTATCGAATAAAGTAAAAAGTACCGAGAGTGTCATTTAAAAATCTAAAGTTGTAGTCATTTCCGGTGAAACAGGAAGTAACCAAAAACAATTGAATACGTCAATCAATCCTAATTTATGTCATATACTAACATACCAAGAGACGCAAATATAATAGCCCGGTATAATAGCAGAATAATTATTAAAATATCGGAAAATTTTACGGAAAAATATATACTGAACATTATTTTTTAAATAAATTAGGTTAGGAACTCCGCCATCTTTTGCAATTGTCAATTCAAGTCTCTCAAGTCTGTAATAATTGATTTTTTAATTACAGATTCAAATATCCTGGATTACAAAAAAACGGACGTAGAAGAATTAAATCAAGACCAAAGTTCACAACTGGCATCAAATTGCCCTCCTGTATGTATAGATATCTTCATTACTATAGTGGTATGTCGGATGTTTTTAATGTTATGTAATATTATATGCTAATTTTCTAACTCAAACCATTTTTTAAAATTTGTAAACACATAATTTTTTATGTTTTGTGGGAACTTATAAATAGTATTAGAACATAATAATTTTGAAAATATTTCAGCCTTTTAATAATATTTCAAGCAATAATTTTTGTAAATATTAGACGAAAAAATTAGATTAGAATCTTGTAAAATATACAGAGTGTCATAATATTCCGTGGACATAGAACTATTACTAACTCATAAAATCAAAACAAGAAAACTGTACGCATATTGCCTATATACAATAGTGCTTCGTTCGTCAAGTAATAAAGGCTTATTTACTTTTTTTAATGCCTGAAAAAATATTAGTACATATTTTAACAAGAGGGAAAATGCAAAACATGGAGTTATTATTTCCTATTGATACCTTTCATATAAATTAGAATTAATTGGTGTCCAATTAATTGTGTATTTTGATTTAAAAAATATCGGGCGGCTCATTGTCACTGAATATTGAGACAGCCTGTATAGATAGTGTCAATTTGGGACACACTGTACAGGTAGTAAGAAAATACGCTGTGATACTATTAAGTCTAAAATAAATAGCAGAACTTGTGATCTGCGGTTTCATTGATGCGTTTTTTGTGCCGATACAGGGTGTCCCATTTTGGTAGAAATCATGCGGTATCTCCGTTATTAGTGAAGAAAGAAGGGTGCGGTTTGCACCAACCCGTCATACTTTTTTGTCAAAACGAAGATGCTGTAAACAAAATTATCATAGCCCTCTTCGTTTCTGAGCTACATGGTCTTTTTGAAACATTTGCAATTTGGGACACCCCTTGTTTCTCTCTTATTGCTAAAGATATCGAGAAGGTAAAGGTGTTTGTTGTAGAACTTTTTACGTAGAATAGAGTGGCGTAGTCTAATTATTCTACAAAAAGAATATTTTTGAAGATATGAACTAAAGTTACGTTTTCTTAAATTGAACACAATATATATTTATAAATTATATGATCTGGCTTGCCATAAACTTCTCAAAAATGTATATATCACTCTATATTAATTTTCACTATTTATTGCAATATTTAAAAGTTTTTATTAAACGATCAGATTAATTAGTAGGCCATGATTGATAATAAAAGGAACTAAAGAATAATTAAAAGTATACTGCTTTTTTTCTCTTGTTTTATTTTGGGAGCCGCTAATAAATTCTTCTTTCTCTATTTGTAAATCTTGGAAGCTATCGTGCCTGAACTTTTAGATATTCCTTTAGCTAATTTACGTGAAATATACTTTCAGCAAGAGGGGGCCCCCTCACAACCTTGAAAATATTAGAATTTTGTTAAATTCATATTTCTCAAATCAATGAATTGGAACCAATGGACCTATATGATGGCCTCCCTGATTCCCAGATTTGTCCGTTCTCGATTTCTGATTTTGGGGATTTTTGAAATATAAAATATATCGTGGTAACTACAACAGTGCTAAACTAAAACATTCTGTTAACTCTTGACATCTTCCCCTAGGAGATGCTAGACCTTGTCGTTGGTGGGGAAGCTCCTGGTCAGGTGCTGTGGGGAATCCCCCCTAGCACTTGGCTTGGTCTAAGAAGCATCTCACTCATCGTCTTGTCCCTGACTGTAGTGTCGTGGCCAGGGAATTGCACCAAGACATATAACGATACCGGGCAGGGCTACGGACAGCCTCAACCTTGGGGCATCGGGGAGCACCCCATTGTATTTTATCCCTTACTTCTACATGCGGGGCTCTGTAGAAGTGGACCTACTGTCCCTAGCGACTCATGGGAACACTATGAGATCGGGTAATAATAGTAATAAAAACATCACCGGTGAAGCTGTGGGGAAACCCCCTAGCGACACTGGGAACAGTAACAATGAAAGTTCCAAGGGGCCCAACCCAAAGAGAACTACAGGAGAGGTGGCTGACACTTGCGTGAGACCATCCTCCGCAAGTGGCATACAAGTTACCACCTCCTCCAAGGGTCGGGAGCCTACCTCCTACCTCTAAACCCAACAGGCGACACAAGCTACCGTTTCGTCTACCCGGCCTGGGTCGTAGCTCCTCGACTGTGAAGGACACGGGTCTCCGTAGGAAGTCCGGAGACTGTATGATGAGTTATAACTCAAGAAAGGGGGACACAATAGATCTCTAAGGTCGCAGGGATTAACCCCCCCTCCCACTTATTCTAAATTCTAAAATTCTAACTACAACAGTGTCGAACACCTGGAACATGCTTTCATAATGCAAGCTAATAATGCAAGCTTTTAGATATTTGCAAACCCATCCCGTTATAATAAATTCCGTAATAAAAAAGAGAAAAATATATTATATATATTATATATTGCAGTAAATAGTGAAAATAAATACAGAGTAATATATATTTCTGAGAAGCTTATATTAAGGTGGATTATACGATTTATAAATATATAGTGTTCCATTTGGAAAAAACATAACTTTAATTCATATTTTCAAAAATATTTTTACTACACCAGTATTTTACGTAAAAAGTTCTACAAGAATCAGTTTTTATTTTCTCGATATCATCCAATAACGGAGATACGGATCACAATGACGGAGATACGGGAGCTGTCCCAAATTGCAAAATTTTCGAAAAGACCCTGTAGCTCAGAAACGAAGAGGGATATGAAATTTGTGTTTACAGCATCTTCCGTTTGACAAAAAAGTGGGACAGGCTGGTGCAAACCGCATCCTCCTATCTTTACTAATAACGGAGATACCGTATGATTTCAACAAAAATGGGACACCCTGTACTTATTAAAACCACACGAAACAAACAGAGAGAAAATAATTCAAATTGGTTTATTATTTATAATAACACTATTGAAATAAATTTAAAAATATTATCTAATGCATTTGGTTTTCGGTCGATATTTATTTTATACGAATTTACTGGTACGTCTCTGACTCTGTGACAGCTGGCTTTCAACTAAACTAGAGAAATCCGAGTATATTTTATTTTATTTTATATTATGTATCCTGCGGAGAAAGAAGAATAATAGAAAGCTTTTATATTGAGACGCTGAAAAATCAATGCTCCCGGTTGCAATAAGAGAGTTGCTCATCTTTGGAGAACAACAAATCCTGATATTTCATAGAAAAATAGTAGGGAAAATAAAACTCGTCCATTACTTTTTCCTTAAAAATAAATAAAATATACAGGATGGTATCTTTTAAGAAGACCCGCTTCGGGACCACAACTTACTAGTCTGTTGACTAGGATCAAAAGCAAAAGCATGGATTTAATGTAAAAATTACGAAAAAATGTTAGTGTCTTCTTCATAAGCGAATATCTCCAACAAAAATAAAGCTATTGAGATGAACTAAAGAACAATACAAATAAACTAAACATTAAAATAAATAATTACACTAAAAAATAAATAATTTATCTACATATTGCTTAAAAAATTATCAAAATCGAAAAGCCAGAACCAATTATATTAATCTTTAAAATACATCAAGATTCGCATCACTAAAGACACAAACCTTTGATATAAAAAATACATATTAATTTTATGTGAGGAATCTCCCCATGAGCGATGGTACATTTTTTTAAAAACCCTCTATATATTTCAAAATATTGTTACACCTACAAAAAAGGCACTCAAAATACTTCTTTATCAAGAACCTGTTTTTGATACTGTTTTTATATTTTAAAAATAATTTTTATCTACAAAATTCTTCAAAAATAATACAAATTATTTGTAAAGCATACGTTACGCTTATGCTCAGACAAATTTAGCTTACTTTTTCTTCTTTTGTTGTTTTTATATGTTTTTTTCTCTATCTTTTTATTTATGAAGGTAGAGGCACTGTCCTCGCGAGTTTTCTCGAATACTAAAAAAGGCCGTAGCATGAAAATGGAATATGAAATATTAAAAATAATATATATTCTTCTTTTGCCCCCGAGCATACAGGCAACGTTATATTAGGGATTATCCACGGACTTCTATCTCTCCGAATATTTTATATATTCGTTTAAATATTCAGAGGAAGTAAAGTAAAACGTATTTTAATTCGATTTTTCGAACAATTGTATGGGTATTCCATTTTATAATATAAAATAAATAAAATGTAAAAATATATAACTGTGTGTATATAACTGTAAATAATAACAATCCGTTATGTATGTAGTAAATATTAAGATTAAGGAAATACTAATGTTAATGAACGGCTTGCAATAACTTTATTAAATAAGAAATACCTTTCTTCAATTATTTAGAATAGTTCATAATTTTTTTATAGGATTCTTTTTATTTATTAGCGTTACGTGTAAATAATGTGTAGAATTATTACAAATAAAGGCAGTGTAATTTTTGTAAAACTTTGTTTTATTTTACATATTGGCAACCTAAATTATTTATTATGCATTTACTTAAATATTTTCTGTAGGAATATTATATTAACATCGGTATCAAATGGATTGGTCGTAGAAAATATCACAAGAGGTAAGTTCAATTTTTTTTAAATATGTAGTTTATAGGCCAGTAAGCGAGGATAAAAATAATTTTAGTTTTTGAGACATGTCAAAAAAAAATAAAATTTTTTAAAAAATAAAAAATTAAAAATCTTTTTGTTTTGAATTCATGCCTTTATTGATTTTTGTAATTAAAACGGGTGGTTTATTTTTCACCTCCGAGAAGGGATGGCACTCACTTCCAGTGCGAAAGCACATCCGAGGACACACGACAATTCGGGGACATACTGTATAATTGAGTACTAAATAACAAACTTTAATTATTAAATTTTAAAAATTTTCTTAATTTCTCAGTGTATGAATCGCATATATTTATTGTCTTTCAAGATTCTTATGATTTTTGCTCGTTAGTTTCTCACAAGAGATAGCTCTGACCCCCATGATTCATTCCACCTTTTAATACTGAAGAGTGGCAACGTTTCTATGCTAGTTACGCACCGCGAGTGATAAGCGCCCTCTAGCCGCAATTTATGGAAGGCTAAACAAACGGACGTGGCGGCAAATTTATTGCAATTATCTTTCTGTGCATGTTATGGGCTCATGTGCGACCTGCTCTAAATTGTCGAGCTCTAACCGGGG